TTGCCTAATTGTTGTGACTAGGACTTCCAGTTCTATGTTGAATAAAAGTGGTGAGAGTGGGCATCCTTGTCTTGTTCCTGTTCTTACAGGAAAAGCTTTTAACTTTTCACTGTTGAGGATGATGTTTGCTGTAGGATTGTCATATATACAGCCTTTATTATGTTGAGGTACATTCCCTCTATACCCACTTTGTTTTGAGAGTTTTTCAACATCACAAATGGATATTGAATTTTGTCAAATGCTTTTTCTGCATCTATTGAAATGATCATGTGATTTTTGTCTTTCATTTTGTTCATGTGCTTTATCACATTGATTGGCAGATGTCGAACGTCCTTGTATCCCTGGAGTAAATCCCACTTGGTCATGGTGTTTGACCCTTTTGATATATTGTTGGGTTCAGTTTGCCGATATTTTGTTGAGGATTTTTGCATCTATGTTACTGGCCTGTAATTGGTATCAGGGCTGGTTTTGGTGTCAGGGGTGACGCTGGCTTTATAAAATATGTTTGAAAACTTCCCCTCCCTTCAATTTTTGGGAAGAGTTTGAAAAAGGCAGGTATTAAATCTTCTTTGAGTGTTGGTAGAATTCACCAGTGAAGCCCCCTTGTTCTGGCCTTTTGTTTGGTGGGAGGTTTCTGATGGCTGTTAAAATCTCCTTGCTCTAGTAATCATTCTGTTCAGATTTTCTCTTTCTTCAGTATTCAATCTTGGAAGTTTATATGTTTCTAGGAATTTATCCATTTTTTTTCTAGGATAGGAAACCTGTTTTTTTTTTTTTTTTTTTCTGGGCTGTTCAGGGTGTTGGCGTATCGTTGTTCATAGAAGACCCTGATGATCCTTCATGTTTCTGTAGTTTGAGCCCCACATCTCCCTTCTCATTTCTGATTTTATTTATTTGAGTTCTCTCTCTTTTTTTCTTGGTTAGTCTGGCTAAGGCTTTGTCAATTTGGTTTACTTTTTCAAGATCTTAGTCTCATTGATCTTGTATATTGTCTTTTTAGTCCCCACTTATTTCTGTTCCAATCTAATATTTTCTTCCATCTACTAATTTGGAGGTTTGTTTGTTTCTTTTTTTTTTCTCTCTAGTTACTTTAGGTGTAAGGTTATATTGTTTGAGATTTTTCCTGTTTCTTGAGATCAGCCTGCATCGCTAGAGACTTCCCTCTTAGAACCACCTCTACTGCCCCCCCACCCAGATTTTGAAATATTGTATTTTTGTTTTCATTTATCTCTAGGTATTGTTTTGTATTTCTTCTTGGATTTCTTTTTCGACCCATTGCTTTTTCCATAGCATGTTTTTTAATCTTCCTATTTTGGTGGTTTTTTTCATTTTCTTCTTGTAATTAATTTGTGGTTTCATACCATTGTGGTTGGAAAAGATGCTTGATAAAATGTCAGTTTTCTCGAATTTGTAGAGACTTCTTTTGTGCCCAGCATGTGATCTATCCTGGAGAATGTTCCATGTGCCCTTGAGAAGAATGTGTTTTCTGCCACTTTTGGGTGGAATGTTCTATAAATACCTGTTGAGTCCATCTGGTCTAATGTGTCATTTAAGGCCGATGTTTCCTTATTCTTTGTTGTTGTCTGGAAGATCTATCCATTGATGAAAGTGGGGTATTAAAGTCTTCTACTAGTATTGCATTGCTGTCAGTTTCTCCCTTTAGGTGTGTTAAGATTTGTTTTATGTATTTTGGTGCTCCCTGTTGGATGCATATGTATTAGTAAAAGTTATATCTTCTGGATTAATCTCTTTATCATTGTGTAGTGCTCCTGTTTGCCTTCTATTACAGTCTTTGTCTGCAAGTCTATTTTGTGTAAGTATCTCTACACCAGCTTTCTTTTCATTTCCATTTGCATGGAATATCTCTTTCTGTCCCTTCGCTTTCAGCCTGTGGGTGTCCTTACTTCGACATCCGTTTCTCATAGGCAGTGTATAGATGGGTCTTGCTGTTTATCCATGCAGCCACTCTTTGGCTTTTGAATGGAGCATTTAGTCCATTTACATGTAAAGTAATTGTCAATGAGGGTATACTTATTATTACCGTTTTGTTAATTGCGTTCTGGCTGTGTTTGTAGTTGCTCTCTGTTCCTTTCTTCTCTTGCTCTCTTCCCTTGTGGTTTGATGGCTTTCTCCTGTTAGGTTTAGATCCCTTTCTCATTTTCTTTTGTGTATTTCCTTGTGGTTACCTTGAGGTTCACGTAAAATCTCCTATGACAATAGCGGTCTGTTTTAAGTTGATAGCAGTGTAATTTTAAACACATTCTAAAGCTTTACCTTTTTACTTCTCACCCCTGATGTTTTATATTTTTGATGACACATTGTATATTTTTTAATTTTGTGCTTCCCTTAACTAGTTATTGTGATTTTAGTTAATTTTACCAGTTATGTCTTTTCATCTTTACAGTTGCTTTATAAGGATTGATTCACTGTCTTTGCTATACGTTTACCTTTTCCAGTGAGATTTTTACTTTTGTATGTTTTTGTACTAGTAATTAGTGCCATTTCTTTTAAGCTTAAAGGAGGCCCTTTAACATTTCTGGTAGGGCTGGTTTGGTGTTGATGAATTCCTTTAGCTTTTGCTTATCTGGAAAGCTCTTAATCTCTCCTTCAGTTCTGAATGATAACCTTGGTTGGAAGATTTTTCCTTTCAGCACTTTAAATGTGTCATGTTACTCCTTTTTGGCCTGGAAAGTTTCTGCTGAGAAATCTGCTGATAGCTTTGTGGGGTTTCCGTTGTACATAACATTTGGGTTCTCTCTTTATCCTTAACTTTTACCATCTTAATTACAACATGTCTTGGTGTGGATCTCTTTGGGTTCATCTTGCTTAGAACTCTGGGTGTTTTGGACCCAGAAGTCTGATTCCTTCCCCAGATTAGGGATGTTTTCAGTCATTATTTCTTCTTTTCTGGCCCTTTCTCTCTCTCTTCTCCTTCTGGGATCCCTATAACACAAATGTCATTTCACTCGATGTTGTTCCAAAAGTCTCTTCAGATGTCTCCATTTTTCTTAATTCTTTTTTCATTTTGCTGCACTGTGTGGGTGTTTTTCATTGCTTTATTTTCCAGCACACTGATTTGTTCTACTTCATCCAGTCTGCCATTGGACCCCTCTAGTGTATTTTTCCGTTCAGTTATAACTTTCGTTTGGTATTTTCCTATATTTTCTATCTCTCTGTTGATGTTCATACTGTGTTCATCCATTCTTCTCCCGAATTTGGGGAGCATCTTTATGACCATCACTTTGAACTCTTTATCAGGTAGTTTGCTTATCTCTGTTTCATTTAATTCTTTTTTTAAGGTTTTGTCTTGTTTTTCAATTTGGAACATATTCCTCTGTCTCTTCATTTTGCCCTACTCTGTGTTTGTTTCTATGTGTTAGGTGAGTCACCAAACTCTCCCAGTCTTAAATGAGTGGCTTTATATAGGGGATGACCTGTGGGGCCCAGAAGTGCAATCTCTTTGGTCACCAGAGCCATATGCTCAAGGGGTGTCCCCCTTGTGGGCTGTGTGTGCCCTCCTGTTGTGGTGGGGCTGTGGTTGTGGCACACTGGTGGGTGGGGCTGGCTCCTGGCCTGGCTGGGGGCATGTCCATGGCTGCTGGGGTACATTGGTGGACAAGACTCTCAGTGGAACACACTCACTGGCACTAGCAGGTTACAAGGAGAATCCAAAATGGTGCCCACCAGTATCAGTGTTAGGAAGGTAGACTGATGGTCCTACCAGTGGCTCCAGCCTCAGTCCATGCGGAGAGCCCCTGATATTTTCTGCCACTCTGACGGACCCTTTAAGGTTGTTAATAAATGGATCTTCTTTATCAGAGGTGTATGCTTTTTTATCAAATTGGTGTTTTTGACTGGTTTCCAGGTTGAGTGAGTGTGTGCAAGCCCCTTTAGAGTGAGTTTTCTGTTCCCTTCAGTTTTCTAGTGTTCCTGAATGTAATCCCCATTGATTTTTTTTTAAAGATTTTATTTATTTATTCATGAGAGACAGAGGGAGAGAGAGAGGGAGAGAGAGAGAGAAGCAGAGGGAGAAGCAGGCTCCCAAGGAGCAGGGAACCCGATGCGGGACTCGATCCCAGGACCCTGGGATCATGACCTGAGCCGAAGGCAGATGCTTAACGACTGAGTCACCCAGGTGCCCTCCCCATTGATTTTCAAAACCTGGTGTTTTGGGGACTCGTCTCTCCTGGGCAGGATCTAAGGGTTGGGGTGCCTGAGGTGGAGCTCGAATTCCTCATTCCTCAGGGGAGTTCTGTACCTTTGCTGCCCACAATGTTCCCGACTGTGATGTGCCATGGGGGGGGCTCTCTCCAGGGGGGGGTCTGTGTCTCTGCCTCTTGTCTCGTCTCGATGGTGTCCCTTTATCTTTTGTTGTGGAGGCTCTGTCGGTTCAGGTCCCTTTCAGGGGGAATTATTCCATAAGCAGTTGTAGACTGTCGTGTCCATGGGAGGAGGTGAGTTCAGGATCCACCATCTTGAACCCAGCTCCCTACTGTTTCTGGGTTTACCAAATTTTGGACATTATGTGTTGCATCCCTGCTGTAAAAGGTTAGGATTTGACTCATACCACCCACCTCCCTTCCCTGATTATTGTTTTGTTGCGTTTGTAACTCTCGATAACGTACGTAGGCTGCCACCTCCTCTTGCATTGACTTTGGCCCTGACTTTCCCTTGTGTCACAGGGGCTTGCCGGAGCCTGGTGTGTCAACTCCTGAGAGCTGACTGTGTGCGTGTGTTACCGTTTTCCTAGCTCCTTGTATCATGTGGGGAGCTTGTGATGGGCCACATTAGAAGTTTTTATACCACAGGGATCGGCCGAGAGGACAAACCAGGATTCCCTACCCGTTGTTAAACATTTATCATCAGCACACCACTGCCGGGCTCCTGAGGTTCCCTTCTGGCCCTGAGTCTGGTTCAGGCCGAGGCTAGATTAGCTTGGCCCCCTGAGGCTCAGCCAGAGGGCCCAGCCCAGCACCGACACCCTTCTCCCTGTGCCACAGCAAAGCTTTGAGGCGCACCAGGACGAGACCGTGAGTGTGACACACATGGTAAAGGCAGGCAGCGGCGTCTGGATGGCCTTCTCCTCCGGCTCCTCCATCCGCCTCTTCCACACCGAGACACTGGAGCATCTGCAGGAGATCAACATTGCCACCAGGACCACCTTCCTCCTGCCGGGTGAGTCTGCTGCTGGGCATCATGCCCTGCCATCCTGGGCCTGTGCAGTGGAGGAGCTGACCTTCGTGGAGTACCTTCCACGGCCGGGCAGAGGTGCGTCCGGACCGGCCCACGTTGTTAGCCCTCGTAGCAGTGTTTGGCCGGCTTTGGAAACTGGCCTCCAAGAGCGGAGGCAGCAGGGCTGGAATTCGAACTTAGGGCTGTCATTCCCAAACCTCTCTTGCTGTAATCACTCTTCCCTCTCACTTCTTTTTTTTTTTTTAGATTATTTATTTATTTATTTATTTATTTATTTATTTATTTATTTGACAGAGAGAGACACAGCGAGAGCAGGAACACAAGCAGGGGGAGTGGGAGAGGGAGAAGCAGGCTCCCCGCGGAGCAGGGAGCCCGATGCGAGACTCGATCTCAGGACCCTGGGATCATGACCTGGGCCGAAGGCAGACACTTAACGACTGAGCCACCCAGGCGCCCCCCTCTCACTTCTGGCGGGAAGTAAGGCTCCAGGCTCAACAGACTCTCCCAAGTCGGGCAGCTGCTAAACAGTCATACTGGGTGGGAACCCAGGCCCATCCATACCTGCCACTCCTCAGGTTGACCAGAGTCCCAGTTCCGCCTCACGTCACATACAGAATGTGAGGTGAGGGGAAAGAGAGAAGGCTGACCAGAGGTCTCTTTCTTTAGAGGTTTTTCTAAGAAAGGCAACTGTCTCGGTTTGCTGGTTGGGGTTTGGAGGCAGCGGGGAGAGCGAAGGGCTAGGGCGTCATCCCCTTGGGGCCCTGCTTCCACCTGCTGAGCTGTTGGTGATACTCAGCGGAGAGGAGGAAGATTGGAGCTCCCCTAACACTCTGCTACTCCCTGCATCTGCTCGAGGCCTCCGTGGCAACCCCATTCCCATCTGCTGCCCGAGATGCTGCCCAGACCCTGCAGGCTATGCCGGGGGGAGCCAGGGCAGACGCCTGCTCAGGGCCCATTCCCACCCCCAGCTGGCTTTAGAGCTTGGCCCAGCTTCCACCAGACAAACAGACTGTCTGCGAGGATGCAGAGGCTCCATCCTGTCCAAGCTGGGCCGGGTTCAGCAGCTGGGAGAGCCGAGGGGCCCTGGGGCTAGGGACACGGGGCTGGCCTGGCAGGTGGGGAGCTAATCGTTACAAGGACTCAGCAGATGGGCCATGTGGAGGCCAGAGTGGCCATGTGCTGAGCTGGCGGACTGATCTCCCTGTTCTATGAGGCCGGGCCAAGGGCAGGCACATTAGCCAGAACCTAAGGGGCTGTGGGGGCCTCTGTCTTACCCCAAAGGCCTGGTCCCTAACCCCAGAGATCACCCTGGCCCCTGCTTCTTCCTGCCACTCACAGTAGTGGTCCCCGGGTCTGGACTGGTGGTGATAGGGGGCGGTGGTCACTAAGCCCAAGATCAGCGGTGGCAGGGACAGCGTGTAACAGCCGCCTGCCACGCGCCCTGCCCCAGCCCTGCACTGAGCTGGGTTCCGAGGGCTTTTAGATACGGGGCCTCACTTCACGGTAACCCACGGAGTGGGGGTTGTCCCCCTCGTACACGTGCGGAAGCTGAGGTTTGCTCAGCAGGAAAACGTGGCTTGTCTGTGGTCCTGCAGTGGGCCTGAAGCAGGGCCCGGAGTCCCCTGAGAGTCCCCCTATGGGGAACAGAGGAGAGATGGTTTCAGAGGTGGCCCGAGTCCTGGCTTGGCCACCGTGGGGCCCGGGCGGCTCTCGCTGCCTCCTGGGGCCTGTGGTCCCTCTGTGGGGGCAGAGGTGGTTCCTGGCTCAGAGAAATGCCTCCAGGCTTGGGAAGGCACCTTGCCCAGGCTTGGAGTGTGAGTGAGGGGAATCAGTGCACTTTCTGGGGTGTGCTGTGTGGGCCTGGGCTGTGGTTCTCGTCCTCCTCTTTTCTTCCTCCCTCCCCCCCCCCCCCCTTCCCTCTTCCTTCAGTTTCATTGTGTTTCTCAGTATTTAGCCATTATACAAGGTAAATCCGTTTTAACTATGATAAGAATTTCTTTATATCACAGAAATATTTCCACACTTACACTGAGAGCTAAATTATTTCAGGCTAGCAGAACAACAAAAAAAGTGAGCCTTTTAAATCTCCTCGGCCTCCTCTGTGGAGCAGGGGGAGGGAGAGGAGGGAGCCCCTTGTTGTGTGGGCAGAGGTCAGAGGCGGGACTGGCCGGCAGAGCCCGCTGCAGGTGACATCGCAGCCCCTCCGCAGGCTGCGGCTTTATGTCACCTTAAAATGCATCTGCTCGCTCACCGGCTTACTTGTCCTTGGCCGTTCCCCTTTAAGGAAGGAAGGGCAGGCCCTGTCCTTATGATTATGTCAGAGCCAGGTCAACGGAGACCCCGGAGGGGACATGACCGGAGGTCGCGCTGCCGGGGAGGCCAGAGCCAGGACCCGAATCGCACCTTCTCACAGGCTCACTGTACAGCATCCCCAGTCCCGGGCCTCAGTTTCCCCATCTATACAGGGAGGGGCCAAGATCCGAATGGGAGCAGGACAGACCAGACCTGGAGTCGGGCTGGCTCTGTGCCCTCCAGTCCCGTGACAGGCAGCGAGCGGGGAGCCTCGGGACCCCCAGTTGCCGCCTCCCAGGGAGGTTGGGGCCCCGTCCTTGTGACCATCCCTGCCCTTCACCACATGGGCTCTGCGGGCCACACATCCGGGGGCCTCTCTGCTCGGCCCCACTGTCCCGCCCATGTCCTCCCGGCTGCACCTGCTACGTCCAGCGGAGAAGCCACGTCTCGCTCACCAGCCCTCCCCGGGGCTGGCCCATCGGGGGCGGGGGCTGAGGTTCTGGGGGGCAGGGCGTCCCCGAAGGTCCCCAGGGGTTACTGCCCTGGGCCCCCGTCCCCAAGCCTGGCAGTTCCTGCTCAGCCCCACCTGCCCGGCCAGGACCCCTCAAGCCCGAGGAGAGCAGGGCCGGAGCTGCCGCGGGGGGTGGGGGGCGGCTTCCACCTACCTCACACGGTGCCCCGGTGGAAGGTCAGCAGAGCAGGATTCTTCAGTTCTTTACCAGAGATATTTTTAAAAGGTTTTTAAGCATTTTTTCTTCCCCCACACCACCAGATGAAATAATTGCATAATTAGTAATAAATTTGTTCCTCTTCTAAGTGTGGATTTTTTTAAGGGCGTGTTAAAAATTTATCACGCTTCCTTCCCCCGACCCCTTTCTTCCACTCATGTACCCGACTGGGATTAATGCTTTTTTGAACCTAAAGCCCCCCTCCTCTTAACTAGACAGGTCATTAATAAAATGTTCTCTGAGAGCCGGAGCCTTTTAAAGTTGTATATCTCCAGATAGATGGCTTGGGTGAGTTGAACACGGCTGCATTAAGTCTCTGTGATAAAATATTTATCCACCATTAGAATTTTTTTTTCTCTCGGACTGTTTGTGAAGTGTCTTGCTCTTTTCCTCGAGGCAGACGGGGAGGAGGAAGGGCTTCAGAATGAGATCTGCAGATGAAGTCATTTCTCAGGTCTGGCACCTGCTGCCTCCCTCACATTGGCTGGGTCTTGGCTGTCCGGTGGGGCCGGGAGGGTGTGGGGGCATTGGGGGATGGTCTCTCCCGGGGCTCATGGCCCCAGGGGCCCTGGAAAAGGAGGTGAGGCAGAGGTATGAAAAACGTGCCCCTGTTCGCTCTTTTGCCTTAAGTATTTTTGTGGGTTTGTGGCTCTGATGGAGTCGATCTTCAGCCATGAGTCCAGGTCCTTTCCATAATCACAGACATTGTCCCAACGGCTTCCTTTCATTGACCGTACTCGCTGGGCTCAGGGCTGGGCCCACTGTGTGTCTGCATTACACACACACGTATAATTCTAATAATCATGAAATAAAGTGAGGTCGGTTTATAATCCTCCCTGAGAGACGAGAGAAAGAAAGCGGCTCGTCAGTTCGCGCATCTAGTACGTGACGGCAACGCCCGTGTTCTTTTTCGCTCTGGCGCTTGCGTTCGCTTGTCCTGGTGCTCGTTCCCTCGTGCGCTGGCAGACACTCTCGAGAGCCAGGGTGCTGGCCCGGGAGCCGGGGGATCAAGTGCGCAGGTAAGCCGCTGCCCTCGCCCACACACGAGGCTTCCATCTGGGGAGCAAGCAGTAAGGGGAGGTGGGGCCACAGAGACCTCGCCCCGGGCCAAGCGGGAGCCAGGTGGTGAGGAGGGGGAGGGGCAGCCTGCACCGACTCCAGGAGGGCGGGCCGCACCGTCGCTTGGCCCCCAGCCTGCCCTGCTGGCTTGGCCGCTACACTTTCTGAACCGACCAGGGCGTGGGGCAGAGTCCAGGCATCCAGACCCATTTGTGCAATCGCCCTTGCTGTCCAGAGGCGAACTGGCTTTTCTTGCGGGGTTTGCATCCCCACACTGAATCAGGACCGCGAAGAGGTCTCTCTGAGTTTGTATCCTGTTGCCTGGCGCGTCTGTCCCACTGCCTGCAGACAGTCGCACGTGCATCTCGGGCTGCGCATCCAGGGGGCAGTGTGGCCTTCCGACCCAGGCTGCTCCCCAATCTGAGTCCGAGGCACTGCCATACACCCAGCTGCCCGGAGTTGTCCTTCATTCTTGTCCGCTCTCCCTACCCACTCGAGTCTGTCAGTGGGTCTGTCCGTCTACTTCAAAATGGATCTCGAATGCCCTGGCTCCTCATCATCTTCCAGGCCACCGTGGCGTCTCGCCACCACTGTCTCTGCCTGGCTGGTCTGCTCGCTCCCTCCCTCCTGTCCTCTACCACTCTGCGGCTAAAGCGTTCCTCCAGACCAAGTCACCTGCTCCTCTACTCAGACCTTCCAGTAGCTTCTCACCTTGCTCAGAATGAATAGTCTGGTCCTTACCCCGGCCCACCTGCTCTCCAGCTGAGTTTGAGTTTGAGTTTGCCCCTATCCCTGAGCTGGGCTAGCTATAGTCTGCTCCTGCCACCCACTCATCCTTGCCACAGGGCCTTTGCATGTGCTGTGTCCCAGTCCTTAGCTTGGGACTTGGCGTGGCTGCCTTATCCTTGTCCTCCAGACCTCACATCCCCACACCTGCTTCCCCATCCTTCCAGAAAGCAGAGTGAGGCAGGAAGCTTGGAAATTCTCCTGCCCACTCCTTGCCCCGTCCCCCGTTTGAATCCTCTGCCTGGTATTTATGTTTCTTGTTTATGTTTTCCCTTCCTCTTTCCCCTCTCCAAACAGCGCTAATCGGTAGCCACTATTAACGAAAACTGAATAAAATAAAACATTCGGTGCCTCCATCCCACCAGCCACATTTCCCGTGCTCACCAGCCACATGTGGCTAACGGCTGAAGAATTGAACAGTGTGATAGGTAACATTTCCATCATCATGGAAAGTCCTAGAGGGTTTGCTCCCCAAGAGCAGAACTGTGTGTGCGGCTCCCACCGTGCCTCCAGCACTGAGCGCAGAGTCCCGTGCCCAGTAGGCGCCTGGGATGTTCCGGGGTGCCGGGCAAGTGGGTCGGTGATGGTAGAGTATGCTGCGTCAGACAGGGCTGCATGAACTCCAGCGCGGTAACCCTGGGGAGCCACCCCTTCTGCTCGGAGGAAGCCCACACCCCTACCCGTTTGGAACTGCAGTCATTTGCTCAAGAGCAGAGAGGTGGCCGCAGTGTAGACGGTAATCAGCACACCGGAGCCTGGCTCCCAGCCTGCACCCACCAGCTGGATGACTTCTTTGGACCTTAGTTTCCTCCCCTGGAAAAACGGGCACAACACTGGTGTCTTGTGTGTGTCCCAGCCGCCGCGAGGCTTCCGTCAGACCAGAGCAGGTTTATGTGTGCTTTAGATACTCCAAAGCAGTGTTTCTCTAAGTGCAGTCCTCAGGCCAGCAGCAGCCGTGTCACCTGCGTGCTTGCCAGAAATGCAGTTTGGGGGCTCACCTCTGGGGGTGTGAACTGGCTGGGGGTGTGGATGCATGCCCAGGTCGACAGCCAGGGCTCCAAGCAGCATTTCACATACCCCATGGCATGAACGTGATCTTCCTTTTAGGGAGGTGTGAGCCCCTCCAGTGGGGCCAAGGGTTCGGCCCTTTAGAAAGGCAGGAGTCTGAGCTCAGGCCCTCCCTCATGCCCCTTCCCGTTGCCCAGGGTTGTTAACAGTGGTAGGTGGCCGATGGCGCTTTCTGTGTGTGCCATGGGCCGGGCACTGGGCTCAGGGATTTACATTCATTCATTGACTCATTTAATCCTCGGGACGAGGCTGTGGAATAGCATCATCATCCCCTTTGGCTGGTGAGGAAATGGCACAGAGAGGCTTAGGGCCTGGCCTGGGTCGTGTAGCTGGGACGTGGCAGGGCCTGGGTTTGAGGCCAGCACCGGTCCCTGGAGCCCACACCACGCAACCCCCCTGTAAAGAGCCAGGGGGACCCCAGTGCTCTCCCTGCCACCGCCAGTCTCACTAAAATGAAGAGACAGCAGCAGGGGGACAGCCAGACAAGAACTAATGTGGACTGACATCAGCAGGCCCGTTTCTGGCACAGAGTTGCCCACGTCACTGGCGGGCCGGGGGGCTGCTGGGTGCGCTCGGCCTTCACCCGGGGGAAGGACCCACGTGGGCAGGATGGCAAGCCTGTGCTGGAAACCGAGGGGCCACAACAGACAGCCAGTGCCCACCCCCACCGCTTCTTGTATCTGTACCGGCCCCCGCCCCGTGCCTCCGTGCGCACCAGCATCTGCTTCACCCTCAAACCCGCACCCTGCCACGGAGGGCCCCCAGGGGCCAGCACCATGCTCTGTGGCGCTACCCTCTCCCATCCTCACGCAGCCCCACTGTACTCAGGTGGAAACTGAGGCTCGGGGATGCAGGGGCCGGACTCCAGCCAGGTCAGACTCCCAGACCCACGTCCCAACCACAGCCCCATCCAGCTTCCTGCTTGTCTCACCCGAGGAGCCGGACCATGCCCCTTCCTCACCTTGAAGCCCCCAGAACCCACCGCCGCCCCCGCAGGAGGGTGTGCTGCTCATGCTGGCTTCTCTCTCCACAGGCCAGAAGCACCTGTGTGTCACCAGCCTCCTGATCTGCCAGGGTCTGCTCTGGGTGGGCACCGACCAGGGTGTCATTGTCCTGTTGCCTGTGCCTCGGCTGGAAGGCATCCCCAAGATCACAGGTGAGGCTCTGGAAACCGGTCTTGGCAGGGCCTGGGAGTCAGCTGCAGATGGCTGGGGAGGGTGAGCCTGTGCCCAGAGGTTCACACTCTCTTCTGACATGGGGCATTATCTCCAGTGCCCCTGAGATCACAGGTGACACTGTGGCACACTGGAGTTATGTCATCCCGCCCCAAGGTCTCCCAGCTGCTTTCTGGGTCTCAGTTTCCTAATCTGGCCAATGGGCACAGTAGTGTGTGTTGGTCAAGTGGCTTCAGGATTGGTGGAGGCCGCTGACTAATGGCTGGGCCCCTCCTGTCCCCTCCCCACAGCAGCTTCAAAATGTCCAGGTTCCAAAGACCGACATAACCGAGGGCTCCTGCGGTTGGGGTCCATGTGCAAATGTGTTCCTATGGAGCAGCGGGAGGTCTGCCCTGACGGGGGTGCTAGGGCTAGGAGAACAAGGGCGGGGTCAGGGAGGACCCAGAGCCCTGGGCCCCTCTCTGCCTCTGCCCTGAGAGTGATGAGCAGCTGGGGGACCAGGGTGGGTGGGGTTGGGGGGAAGCCCTGAGGGTGGACCAGCCCAGCTGGAACGGGAGCCCCCCCCCCCCGTTCCTAAATCCCAAAGTCTCCTGTTTTTATCACATATGTCATTTTGTTCCCTGCGGTGTTGGTCCTTGGGTTGTAGGGATGCATCGGGCAGAGACCGCGCCCCCCCAGTGCTGATGGTCTGGCAGAGGCGGCTGAGGTCAGGGGAGGGGGCAGGTGCTGTGATGGCAGGTGTTCTGGGACCTCGGGGCCCAGAGACCGGGTGCTGGGCAGTCTGTGGGTGGAGTCAAGAAGGATGTGCTGTGGAGGAGCCTGAACTGGGCTTTAGCGGGTGGGGTGTAGCATCAGGTGGCTGGGGAAGGCTCTCCGGGCAAGGCCAATGGCTTGAGCAAAGGCAGGAAGACGTGCGGCTGGCTCAGGCGGGGGCTGCAGGTGCTTTCACACTGACGGTCCCCCAAGGGTTCCCCCCGCAACAGGTTTATAAGATCACTCCTCTTCCCTGTTCTACTCCTCCACAGAAAATGGCCCCAGAGTGTGGGAGAGCCCTCCCCCAGACCCAAGGCCTTCTGGAAGGTTCCAACATAGATTGCAGTTACCAAAATAATCACCACCACCCAGAAAGTTCGCCAAGAGAGAGGTGTGGGTGCCTCCCCTAAAGCCCTGGGCCTTCGGGCCCCTTCTCCCCGCCCCTTTCTTGCAGGGAAAGGCATGGTCTCGCTCAACGGCCACTGCGGGCCCGTGGCCTTCCTGGCCGTGGCTACCAGCATCTTGGCCCCCGACATCCTGCGGAGCGACCAGGAGGAGGCCGAGGGCCCGCCGGCCGAGGACGACAAGGCGGACGGGCCGGTGCCCGAGCCCACGCCCGTGCCCACGAGCCACGTGGGCCGAGAGCTGCCCCGCAAGAAGGGCATCCTCCTGCAGTACCGCCTGCGCTCCACGGCGCACCTGCCCGGCCCGCTGCTGTCCGTGCGGGAGCCGGCGCCCACCGACGGCTCGGCCCTGGAGCACAGCGAGGAGGACGGCTCCATCTATGAGATGGCCGACGACCCCGACGTCTGGGTGCGCAGCCGGCCCTGCGCCCGCGACGCCCACCGCAAGGAGATCTGCTCCGTGGCCATCATCTCTGGGGGGCTGGGCTACCGCCACTTCGGCAGCGCCCCGGGGGGGCAGCGGGCGGCCGGCCCCGTGCAGGGAGACGGACAGCGCCCTCCTCATCTGGCAGGTGCCCTTGACGCTATAGCCCCCGCCCGGGCGGGCTCTCCCCCTGCCGGGGGCCCCTCCCACCATCCGGGGTTCCGCGCCCCGGGAGCACGGGGGAGACTCGCCTTCCAGGGACCCCCGAGGATAGGCCTGGATCTCCCGGAGCTACCTTGGCAGAACAGAGGAGAACTTCTTTTTTTTTTTTTAAAAAAAAGATGTTTCAGAGTGTTCTGGGGGAGGAGTCTGGGTCTGGGGAGAGGATACCTCTGGAGGAAATGGCCTTCTTTTTAAAAGCAAAA